GGGTCAGGGACTCTGAAAGAACGAAGAACAACCAAAAGCCCAGGCCTACTGATGGTATCATAGGCCTTGACTAGGTCAAGAAAGCAGAGATGTAGGTCTTGTTGGAATTCCATATTCCTCTGCTGTAGCAAATATGGCATCTGTGCAGGATCGCCCTTTCCTGAAACCGCATTGGGGCTCCGCAAGCCTCTCCTCAGCGTGACTCGCAAAGCAATGTTGAATAATCCTTGCCAGGACTTTTCCCGGCACACTGAGGAGTGATTTGCCCCTGTAGTTGTTACAGTTTGTGCGGTCCCCCTTCTTAAAAGGGTACCACCAGGGCATCTATCCAATCCTGCAGAACCCATCCAGTGGTCCAGACTGTTGTTATGATGTCACATAGGGCAGTCTGCGCACAAACGCCACACACCCTCAGCATTTTGCTTGGGAGATCATCTCTGCCCGGTGCCTTTTCTGGTCTCAGACTCTGGATCGCCTTCAGTCCTTCCTCAACAGATGGTACCTCAGCCAGCCACCCACAGGGGGTGGCTTTCTTAAGGCACCGCAGCCTCAGCAGGGTCATCCCCACTTTGTCCCATGATGTTTTCCATGTCGAGGGATTTCCCCTCAACCAGGTCCTCACATAAATGCTCAGCAAATCTGCAAACCTGTTCCTGGGGGTCGGAGATTGTATCACCGTTCTTTCCCCTAATGATGGTAATAGGTGTGGTGCTGCAGGTTTCTTTTTTGATGGAGTTAAATGGGGATCTGTGGTCGAAGGCCATTGAGGCAGACTCCATCTCCTCAGCAACCTGCGACCACCACCCATCCTTGCAGCGCCTCACGGTTTTCCGAAACTCCGAGCGAAGGCTGTGGTAAGCCTCCTCATTCTCTGACGTGCGATGCTGTAGACCAGGGGTCCTCAAACTACGGCCCGCGGGCCACATGCGGCCCGCCAAGGACATTTATCCGGCCCGCCGGGTGTTTTTTGCCGCCGCTGCCTGTCTGTTACTTTTTTTCTGCATGAGAAGGACGGTCATTGGTGGAAGAGGGAGAGGGGGCGGAGTTTCCCCCAATCAGACTGCATTGATGGGCAGTGCAGTCTGTATGTCTCTGTGTGGGCAAAGTTATTACTGGTATATTGTTTTTGTAGCGCTGTATATATATTGGTATTTTACTAATATCAATTTTGACTCCCTAGGAAACAATGATGTCAAGAAAGAGAAAAATTGACTCGGAGTGTAGGATATTCAAAGAACAGTGGACTTATGATTACTTTTTCAAGCAGTACAAGGAAAGAGCTGTGTGTCTGATATGCCAGAATATAGTGTCTGTGTTCAAAGAATACAATTTACGTCAACACTATAAAACTCAACATAAAGATAAATATGCTTGTTTGGTCGGAGAAGTGAGAAAAGATAAAATATTAAAACTGAAAAATACATTAACAACTCAACGAAATAGTTTTGTGAAGCAGAAGCAGCTAAATATTTCATCACTGCGAGCAAGTTTTCAAGTTTCCAAGCTAATAGCATGCACTGGCAGACCATTCGTGGAGGGAGAATTTGTTAAAGAATGCCTTCTTTCTGTTGCCAAAGAGATGTGTCCAGAGAAGGCCGATTTATTTAGCACAGTGAGTCTTTTAGGACCTACAATTACACGGAGGATTGAAGAAATGGGAGACAATTTGCATCAGCATTTACAAAACTCCACAAAAAAACTTTCCTATTTTTCCTTGGCACTCGACGAAAGCAATGATGTTCGTGATTCTGCACAACTTCAAATTTTTATTCGTGCGACGAATGACTATTTCGAAGTCACAGAAGAGCTTGCTGCACTGCAAAGCATCAAAGGAACAACTACAGGAGAGGATATCTTTCGATTTAAAGCTTTCGTGACTGCAGGGATTCATCTTCTTGGTTCTTTCGGTAAAGTCACATAGAAAGGAAGTAATAAAATAATAAAAGTAAAACATAATAAAATAATTCTCACGACGTTTCGGCCACAACGCAAGCAGCCGTCCTCAGGTGAAAACCAGGTCTGTCGGGGAGACAGCGTCTGAATGAAACGGCACACGAGCTTGGAGCCCGTGTTGCATATGTAGTACTAATAACATTCCTGCATTTCCCATAAATATGCTAAATTCCTCTTGATATGCAAATTCTTGTCAAGGCGCTCTTTCTCCCGTTTCCAACCCAGCTTATATATGCTCCAAGCTCGTGTGCTGTTTCATTCAGACGCTGTCTCCCCGACAGACCTGGTTTTCACCAGAGGACGGCTGCTTGCGTTGTGGCCGAAACGTCGTGAGAATTATTTTATTATGTTTTATTTTTATTATTTTATTACTTCCCTTCTACGTGACTTTACCGAAAGAACCAAGAAGAGAGGATATCTATGAAAAGGTTTGCCAAACTGTGAATGATTTGGAGCTGAACTGAGCTAAACTAGCCAGTGTGACAACTGATGGTGCTCCTAGCATGGTGGGGTCTAAGAAAGGAGTAATTGCTCGCATTAACCAAGAGATGGACAAACATAACCATTCTCATCCAATAGCCATACACTGCCTCATCCACCAACAAGCGCTGTGTAGTAAATCACTGAAGTGGGACTCTGTTATGAAATTTGTAGTATCTTGTGTTAACTTCATTAGAGCTCATGCACTAAACCACAGACAATTTCAGGCATTTCTGTCCGAGCTAAATGTTGACTATGAAGATGTTCTGTATCACACAGAAGTCCGTTGGCTGAGTCGAGGGAGAGTTTTGAAACGTTTCTATGACTTGCTTCCACAGATTACAGCTTTTCTGCTTTAAAAAAAACAAAGAAGTACCAGAGCTCAATGATGCAGAATGGAAATGGCACCTTGCCTTTTTGACAGATGTAACAGAGCTACTCAACAGTTTCAATGTGCAACTTCAAGGAAAGGGGAAGCTGATCTGTGATATGCAATCACATGTCAAAGCATTTGAAGTAAGAATAGGCCTCCTCATCAAACAAGTGAAGGAGGAAAACTTCTGCCATCTCCCTACAACTCAAAATCTGTTAGCGGAAAAACCATTGGTTGCATTCCCAAACAAAACATGTGTGGATTCACTGGAAAAATTGCAAAAGGAGTTCCAATTTGTATTTAAAGAGCTTCATCTCCATGAACAGGACATACAGCTTTTCCGCAACCCATTTTCTATTGACATTGAAAATGTGGATACATTTACCAATGGAACTGGCTGAACTGCAGAATTGTGACTCTCTGAAAGACGCATTCAAGTCAAGCAGCCTTCATAATTTCTATGCATCTCTCCCCTCTGAGACATATCCTCATCTCAGGAACCATGCACTCAAAATGGCAACCATCTTTGGCAGCACTTATGTCTGTGAACAGACTTTTTCCAGAATGAAACATTTGAAATCTCCAACCAGATCTAGACTAACGGATGCACACTTGCATAAACTTGTTACGACTAGCAGTGTCAAATATGGAACCGGACATTGACCATCTCATTAGCCAAAAGCAGGCCCATAGTTCCCATTGAAATACTGGCAAGTTTAATATATATGCAGTGTGCATAGGAATTTGTTCATAGTTTTTTTTAACTATAGTCCGGCCCTCCAACGGTCTGAGGGACAGTGAACTGGCCCCCTGTTTAAAAAGTTTGAGGACCCCTGCTGTAGACGATTAGGGTGGGCCTGTCTCTTTTTCTCAACCATCCTGAACACCTCCTCTGTCAACCAAGAGTGGAGGACGATGCCAACCCCAGCCGCAAGCGATGATGAAATTCTCGCTGGCAACTTCCATCAGCTAGATGAGACCAGGCCACCTTAAGTTGGAATGGGTGTCCTGTGTGTACACCTATCACCGGAGTGGAAGAATGGCAGGCGCATCTTACAGATGACAAGTCGATGGTCAGATGGCAGATCAGTTCCACGGTAGGTCCTGGTGTCAAGAACATGGGCTCGCATCCGCTGTTCCATCACTATGTAGTCCAGCAGATGTTCTTGCTTGGACCAGGCATGCATCCATGATGTTGTGTGGATGCGCCGATGCCGGAACAGCGTGTTGGTAATTACAAACCCGTGGGCTGCACAACATCCTAGCAGCCTCCTGCCGTTGTTATTGAGCTGATTTGGCCCATGCCTTCCAATAAATCCAGACCAGGTTCCTGCATCAGGCATTGAAGTCACCCAATAAGATGACTCTATCCGGAGGGGCCACTTTCGCCAGCACTTGTGACAGGAGGTCATAGAAGGCATCTGACTCATTGGCCTTGCCTGCATACCTCCACGGATGTTCGTCTTCGGTGGGGTCATAAATAACCACCACCACTCCTTGCCTCTGGTTGATGGGAAGGCGAGCACAAAGTAGCCTGTGGCTTATAGCTTCCCACACCTCACCGACACGGTCCCACGCCCCCTTCATTCTTTTGTTCCGAAGAAGAGCCACACCGTTTTGTTTGGCAGTCTCCTGCCCCGAGTAGAGGACCATCCACCCCTCATGGTGGCAGGAGCCAGACCCGGTCCACCGGACCTCCTGAATGCCACAGAGATTCAGGCGGTACCGGTCCAGCTCCCAACTGCTGCTACATAGATCCCTTAAGAGCACTGTTGTGAGTGCAATGCAAGACCGAGGTTGATTCTGCGTTGAATTTTGGGAGAACGGCCCTACCGTTGAGTCCTGGGGGGTCCCTAACGCTGTAGTCGACCTCGACGGTGAATTTGCATACCCTGCGCTTCTGGTGCGTTGCCTCGTCACCCAGGAATTTAGGCGTGCGTCAGGGTTGGTGCGAAAGGTCCTCGCGGTTGTCTCTATCGTGTGTAATGCGAGCAAAGACAGGGTCACGTGAGTATGGGCGGAGTCAGGGTCACGTGAGGATGGGCGGAGTCAGGGTCACGTGAGGGGGAGGATATAAGGGGAGAACCGGAAGGGTATCGGGAGGGAAGTCGGAATTAAGAAGGGAGAGGCCACGTGGAGTGCTGGCGAGGAGTGGGGAGATAGTGAGAGAGTGGAGGCACGGCACCGTCGGCCAGCGGTGCGCGTGGAGCAGCGGGGAGACTGCAGAGTACGCGGAGAGCGCACGGGGCAGCGGAGTGGATGCTGTTGGTGCGGAGTAACGGGGAGCAGCAGGGCGGCTGCGGAGTGTGCGGGAGCACACAGGCAGCGGTGTGGCTGCAGAGAGAGAGCGAGTGGGAGACAGCGTGGAGCGCGGAGGCGCGAGGAGGAACAGGTGCGGGTCGGAGCGGAGACTTCGCAGGGTGTGAGCAAGAACCCAATAAAGGACACGTTGAACGACATCGCCTGGAAGTCCTTTATTACATGTGTAAGTCGACGCGGTGTTCCGTCATTGTCGACACGCGGGGTCGCTGTGTGAAGTCGGTGAACTGCAGGGTTCTGTAGACACGTGTTATTATTGTTGCCGATAGTTTTGAAGAGTTGGTTGTACTTGCTTGTCAATAAATTGTTATCCGCCACAGTTGGTTTACGTCCTTGTGCGTAACGAACCAAGGCATAGTTACTACATTCCAAATCTTGTTAAGATTCTCAGTATTCCAGATCGAGTTATCGTCCTTCTTTCTGTTGCCGTCTGATACAAAATATTGAGAGAATTGCACGGGAGAGAAAATGTATCCCCTCTCCTCTCTCTCCCATGTTAGAAATGAGCAACTCTCAGCTATCAGCTGGAATTGGAATATTTCCCCCTTCACTGCCGATGCCGGATGTGAAATTGGTGAGGTTTCAGGACTTTTTCAGTTGGTGCAAGCGGCTATGTCTCTCTGCATTGTCTAACCGATTCATATTCGCCCAGACACCCTGGCTGACAAGGAGAGAGGTGGCTGAGAATAAGAGTCGGGCCTATTTTGCCTCTGGTGAGAACATCTCACATCCAAAAATTTACAGTCATTACCACAGCAATGGGCAAGCTGAGTATATTTGCAGATTTTTGCCGGGTATTTTTCTGAGATGTTGCCCAAAAGCTTTGTATATCACGGTGGTGGGGTGGGGGGGGGTGTACATGCACGTGTGTGTTAATGTGTTCCCAATCTGTTTTCCCAAACGCGCCGATGGATACAAAAACGATTCACTCGGAGTACAAAATATAGCCGCTGAACACGGCGTCTCTGTGCGCGTCAATGTGAAAATGAATGTACGGAGCCTCCATCTCCAGCCACACCTCGTCGCCAGCTTTGAGACTCAGCACGACACTGCCACTTATTGCGGTGTATTTTATACCACATATCTTAGAGATGACCTTCCCGTTTTTCATGATCATAACCACGAGGTGCTCTTCACCGGGGTGCGCGTACAGCGTGAAATAGTAGACGCCTGAGTGGCCGCAGGTGAACTTCCCCGTGCCGGGGTTGTAATGGCCCTGCGGGTTGGTGATGATGACGTTGAACCTCACGGGGGAGCCGGCCGCCGGCGTGTAAGCGCCGACCTTCGCAGAGAAGGCCGACCTGGGCCCCACGCCGCTCTCTCCCTGCTCGCCTTTCTCGCCTCTTTCGCCCTGCTCACCTCCGACTCCCGGAGTCCCCGCGCGCCCCGGTTGGCCAAGAGGGCCCAGCTTTCCTGGCAGACCTAGTCGGACAACACGGTCCAAACGCACGGCATGCGCATGTGTGTGTGTCACCCCACGGTAGTGTGGCAGTTAGCGCTATGAACCAGGCAGAGACCCGAGTTCGATTCCCGCTCATGGTCAACACAAGCGACGAATATCTGAACCAGTCCTGGGACTCCTTCCCTAGGTCGACTCAGCCTCAAATGATTACCTGGTGCAATGTGTACACAACGCCACTTGGGAGACAAAGGCATGCCGGCCTTCATCGGTGCTCACTAACAGCACTTGCCACAACAGTCTGATAAGGCTATACGAGGGATTTTTGTGTATTTATCCCCACTCTCAAACCGAGAGATGGGGCAATTCTGCATCCATGTTGATGACGGTGAGCCAAACCTGCACAATTGGTGTCTTTTAACTTCACGTAAAAAAGTATAGAAGTGATACATCGCTTCGTGGCACATGCAGCCTGGTTTACAGGAGGTCGTGCGCTCGATCGCATTCATGACGCCAGCTGTTTATTTGGAGTTTGCATGCGTCTCTCCCCGTTGTTGTGTGGATTTTTCACTGGGTTCTCCGATTTTCTACCCTCCACATGTAGACATGTATTTAGCTGAATATATGTCCACGTGATGATAAGTCCACTTCGTCGAGCTATCATTAAATGTGGCCAGGTCGCTTCTGAACAAGAGTATCATATGTCGTGTGGTGTTTATTCACGCGGAAAACTTCGTATTTTTCTCCTGTGTTACTTTATACGCAGCATCCCACACGGATGCTCCTCACATTCAACACCAGGTACTCCTGTAGCGAACTCTTTCTTTCTTCCTCCGCTAGCCTGTTACTCCCCGCTCTCCTAGCCTGTCACGGACTCTCTCTCTGTACACTCTGCTAGCTTCTCACCCCGCTATAGCCTATCACACTCAGACTCAAGATTCCGCTAGCCTCTCCACTGCTAGCGTGTCTCGCCTGTGCCCCCAGCGGGGGATCAGCCATCACCTCTGGGGAGGACGAGGTGTGGAGGGAAAGGTCCCGGACTTCTCTTGAATATGTTCACTGCTTCATCTCCAACCAACTGCTTCATCTCCAACCAACTCAACCCCGTTGCTTCAGAAGTTCCCCTTATATCCCCCTCCTCATTAAGTGCTCTCAGATGACCCTCATTAAGATGGCGTCTCTTGCACGTGTTCTCACCCTCATCGCCACTATCTCTCGCCTCCTTGGCACCTACACCGCGTTGGCATTTGCAGCCAGCCAATCACTGCCTCGTTCCCTAATTGATGGCGTCTCTCTGTCTGCTGTCTCCTAGGCCACCCGCCTGCACCTGCTCGTCCTGAGCTGGCCTCACTGTTTGTAACCCCGTACATGAATGCAACTGCTGTTTGCAAACCCTGCGCACGTTACGCCACTACGCATAGCTCAGTGAGAATTACTTGGTAATAAAATACATATATAGAATCAGCTGCTAGGAGCACACGAGTCAGTGTCACAGTCCCACCTGGGTCCCCAGTCAAGCCTCGAGCCCCGAGGTCTCCCTTGGCTCCGGGTGCTCCGGTAACGCCTGCGAGAAGAACAAAGCATGGCTCGTCCGCTCAACAAGCCACTCTCCATTCACACCACTCGCCTCCACGCACTCTCCTGCCTCTCCCCTCTCATCTCACTCCATTCCCCTCCACGCACTTACCTGTCTCTCCCCTCTCATCTCACTCTACTCCCCTCCACTCACTCTCCTGCCTCTCCCCTCTCATCTCACTCCATTCCCCTCCACGCACTCTCTTGTCTCTCCCCTCTCATCTCACTTCACTCCCCTCCACGCACTCTCCTGCCTCTACCCTCTCATCTCACTCTACTCCCTTCCACGCACTCTCCTGTCTCTCATCTCACTCCACTCACTCTCCTACCTCTCCCCTCTCATCTCACTCTACTCCTCTCCACGCACTCTCCTGTCTCTCCCCTCTCATCTCACTCCACTCCCCTCCACGCACTCTCCTGCCTCTCACCTCTCATCTCACTCTACTCCCTTCCACGCAGTCTCCTGCCTCTCATCTCACTCCACGCACTCTCCTGCCTCTCCCCTCTCATCTCACTCCACTCCCCTCCACGCACTCTCCTACTTCTCTCCTCTCATCTCACGCCCCTCCACGCACTCTCCTGCCTCTCTCCTCTCATCTCACTCCACTCCCCTCCCCGCACTCTCCTGCCTCTCCCCTCTCATCTCACTCCACTCTCCTCCACGCACTCTCCTGCCTCTCCCCTCTCATCTCACTCTTCTCCCCTCCACTCATCCTCCTGCCTTTTCCCTCTCAACTCACTCTACTCCCTTCCACTCACTCTCTTGCCTCTCCCCTCTCATCTCACTCAATTCCCCTCCACGCACTCCCCTGCCTTTTCGCTCTCATCTCACTCCACTCCCCTCCACGCACTATCTTGCCTCTCCTCTCTCATCTCAGCAATTCCCCTCCACTCACTCTCCTGCTTCTCCCCTCTCATCTCACTCTACTCCCCTCCACTCACTCTCCTGCCTCTCCCATCTCATCTCACTCCACTCCACACGAGACACTCTCCTACGAGAATGAGAGAGTGAACGATCGAGGGAATGACATGGCGAGTGAACGATTGAGTGAGTGAATGAGTGAGTGAACGAGTGAACAAATGAGTGAGCAAGTGAACAATTGAGTGAGCGAGTGAGCGAGCGAGTGATCGCGTCGCACCACGAGCGCACCGTGGGGGGGTCTCTGGGACCCGACCCCTCACCGTCTCTGCCGTCCCTCCCGGGGGCCCCAGGGGTCCCGTGCTGCCCCGGGGCTCCGGGCTGACCGGGGATCCCGTTGATGCCCGCGCAGATGGTCCTCTCCTGCTGGGCTCCCACCACCACCACCCCCAGCAGCAGCAGCAGCGGCAGGGCCGAGATGGACATCTGGGGACAGCAGTGGGGAGATGTTAACTAGCTCGCCGGGTGTACAGGATGGATTTAAACACGAATTATTATTTTATTTTACCAAGTAAAGTATTAATGAGCTGCTATATAGTAGCTATTTTTTCACAAGCGCCCTGCCCATCACAAATGTGGGTCTATGTGTAAGTCGCCTCGTCTCTGCGAGGCTGTGGGTCCTTGTGTGAGTCTACTCGTCTCAATGTGAGTTCACGGGTCTCTTTGTGAGTCTATGGGTCTCATTGTGAGTCTGTGGGTCTCTGTTTGAGTCTGTGGGTCTCTGTGAGTAATATGGGTCTCTATGTGAGGAATCTACGGGTTTCTGTGTGAGGCTATAGATCTTTGTATGAGTCTATGGATCTCTGTGTGAGGCTATGGATCTTTGTGTGCGTGTACGAGTTCCTGTGTGAGTTTGTGGATCTATGTATGAGTTTGTTGGTCTATATGATTATACGGGTCCCGTTGTGAGTCTATGGTCGTTTTGTGAGTCTATGGGTCGCTGTGTGAGGAGTATATGGCCTTTGCGTGAGTCCGCGGGTCTATGTGTGAGTCAACTCGTCTTCATGTGAGTTTACGGGTCTCTGTGTGTGTCTTTGAATTTTTGTGTGCGTCTATGGGTCTGTGTGAGTCTTTGGGTTTATGTGTGAGTCTATAGGTTTCTGTGTGAGGCTATGGATCTCTGTGTACATCTATGGGTCTGTGTGAGTCTACGGGTCCCAGTGTGAGTCTGTGGGTCTACGTGTGAGTCTGTGGGTGTATGTGTAATGAGTCTATGGGTCTACGTGTGAGTCTATGAGTTTCTGTGTGAGGCTATGGATCTCTGTGTACATCTATGGGTCTGTGTGAGTCTACGGGTCCCAGTGTGAGTCTGTTGATCTATGTGTGTGTCTTTGGATCTATGGTTGAGTTGACTCGTCTCTATTTGAGGCTATGGGTCTTTTTGTGAGTCTATGGGTCTCTGTGAGTAATATATGGGTCTATGTGTGAGGAATCTATGGGTTTCTGTGTGAGGCTATGGATCTCTGTGTGAGGCTATGGGTCTCTGTGTGAGTCTATGGGTATGTTTGTGATGAGTCTTAGGGTCTGGTGTGATGAGTCTATGGATCTCTGTGTGAGTCTTTATACGTACGGTAAGTTGAATTTTCTTTCGCTCCACCGTACGTAGCAGCTGAGCGTCCTGCTAATCGGAGGTTGTCGGTGCTCAGCGTTGGTCACCGAGTCACTGGAATCCTCTCCCCCGTCTCCCCTTTTAAACGTTACTCGGGTCACGTGCTCCTCCATTTCCCACTTGGTCCAGACCTCCCACGTGTGACGTCACAGTCAACACTCGCGCGCACAAACAAGAAAGACAAAGATTCCCCGTGTAGCCTGTAACAGACTGCCGGGGTCAAGTGGCTGTTAGTAGCGAGAAGTAGCAGCGCCTATGAAGGCAACCGGCACTGTGGCACACGAGGGGGTGGGTGGCCAGCAGCACCACGCCCAACCGCCTTTGTCTCCCTTAGTGGTGATATTTAGCAGTGACGTGCGGTGAGGTCAATGGCTGGGGAGGCACTGGCTAGTATCAGAGCCAGATTTACACACTGAAGGGGGCGTGTCCTCACTGAGGGGGCGTGTCCTCAGTGAGGGGGCGTGTCTTCACTGAGGGGGCGTGTCCTGACTGAGGGGGGCGGTTCTGAAGGGGTCTACAAACATTACCTTGGTGACATACTGAGATAGTAACAGGCACGCGCTTATTGCCCGCGCTCCATCCAGTTTCTGAGGGGTTGCGCAATCAGAGGGGAGGCTGAGCTCGTCACTGCCTCACCTCTCGTCTCTCCCTGTATTCGCAGCGGAGCTCGGCAAATTTGGCGATTTTGACTATGAAAATTATTGGATTCATACAGAAATTATATTCATAACACAGATTAGTGTGGAAATCTTCCAATTTATTCAATTTTATTATTCTTTTTTTACTTGAAGTAAAGCTATTTTCATTGTAGTTTGACAGGTGAGGCTCTGCCTCCCCTGCCTCGCCTTACCGCACGTGACTGCCCCCGTGAGTGAGTGGTTGGGTGAGTGAGTGGGTGAGTGAGTGGTTAAGTGAGTGAGTGGGTGATTGGCTGAGTGGGTGAGTGAGTGGGTGAGTGAGTGAGTGGGTGAGTGAGTGGGTGAGTGAGTGGGTGATTGGCTGAGTGGGTGAGTGAGTGGTTGGGTGAGTGAGTGGGTGAGTGAGTGAGTGGGTGAGTGGGTGAGTGAGTGAGTGGGTGAGTGAGTGTATTGGTGAGTGTGTAGGTGAGTGTGTGAGTGTGTGGATGAGTGTGTGCGTGAGTGTGTGGGTGTGTGTGTAGTTCTGTCCTTCAAGTCTTCATTGAACGGATCTGATCTGCACACACATAGACACACACACACGTACAACAAAGATCCCCCATGTAGCCTGTAACAGACTGTTGGGGCAAGCGCTGTTAGCGAGCACCTATGAAGGCCGGCATGGCACACGAAGGGGTGGGTGGTCAGCACCTGGTCCCTTTTGTCTCCCCAGCGGTGATGATTTTACGTCCCGCACCAGGTACTCATTTGAGACTGAGTCGACCTAGCGGAGGCTCAGGGCCAGTTTAGATAATCAAAATCACCGATGTTGGCCGTGATTCGAACTCGGGTCACCGGGTTCGCAGCGCAGCATAGCGCTAACTGCTACACTACCGCTCCCCCACACAACAACAACACTAAGTGGCGGTGACGTCACCACGATGCTTGCGCCAGGCCATGTGCACCTTGAGACCACGTGAAGTTTCGAACTCCCGCTCGTCGGGGCAGACCCAGTAGGTGCCATGGGTCTAACTGAGATGACTGGCTGATGCACCACCTGTGCCCATTTCTGTGCATACTCTTGTTTAAGAAAACGTTGGCTACAACCGGAAATAGGGGGGGGCCCATTGGGGTGCCCTCAGTTTGTTTGTAGAAAGTTCCATTCGAGGTGAAGTATGTATTGGTTAAGCACTGTCTCACCAGGGGGGGGGGGTATCCCAGTATTCAGTCCTTGATGAACCAAGATTTCAATGATTGCGATGGTGTCAGGTACAGGAACTTTGGTGAATAAGGAAACCACACCAAAACTGACAAGCAGGTCGTCTGGGGTTGTAGCCAAAGTTTTCATGGAGAAATTTGAGACTGACGCCATCCAGACTGCCACTCTACGCCCGACCTTATGGAAGAGGTATGTAGATGACACTTTTGTCATCTGGCCACATGGCCGGCTTGCTCTAGACCAATTCCTCGATCACATCAATTCCATACACCCAGCCATCAGATTTACCATGGAAGTCGAAAAAGATGGCAAGCTACCCTTTTTGGATGTCCTAATTAAAAGGAGACCTGATGGTTCAATGAGCCACTCTGTCTACAGGAAAGCCACCAATACGGATGCTTACCTAAAACCGGATTTCCACCACCATCCATCCCAGAAGAACTCCCTCATCAAGACTCTATACCATAGAGCCCAATGCATCTCCGACCAGGAACACATTGCCAGTGAACTCAAACACGTACGCCAAGGTATAGAGTGGTGTATAGTAATACAGTATGTAATTTAATGTTGGGTTTGTCTATGGTAGTAAATAGTACGGGGTAGACACGTGTGATGTAAGAGAAAAAAGTTTAGCTGGAAGCATATTATATTTTTTGCGACGTAGAATTGTAATGTATTACTTACTGTTAGTAGCTCAGCTTATTGGAGAGTATATTTAGTATACTAATGATACTATGTAGTTCATACTTTCGTTTTTTACATGGTTGTTTAGTAACTGCAGCTACATACTATTAACATTCCTTCCCTTTGTTAATGCTACCCTCATCCCCTCCCTTTGATGCTGCTAATCCTGCATAATGCATGGGCATAATATGAGTTTGAAACCCTCCCGCCCACCTCCTACGCATTTCCTCTAAATATGCTAAATTCCGCTTGATATGCAAATTATTTCGTCAAGGCGCTCTTCTTCCCCCTCCAACCCAGCTTAAATATACGCTCCAAGCTTGGTGGTGTTTCATTCTTCACCTGAGGACGGCTGCTTGCGTTGTGGCCGAAACGTCGTGAGACTTATTTTATTATGTTTTATTTTTATTATTTTATTATTTCCCTTCTACGTGACTTTACCGAAAGAACCAAGAAGATTCTTCTATATTCTTTAGTAATTTCGGTAAAGTCACGTAGGTGGAAATAAAACAAAATAAATCACGACGTTTTGATCTCAACACAAGCAATCGTCATCAGCTGAACACCTGATGACGATTGCTGGTGATTTTACCGAAAGAACCAAACAGTATGGATTCCTGCAGTCACGAAAGCATCAAATCAAGATGACGACTTCTTCCAATATATGAGGCACGACAGCCTCAGCAAGGTCATCCACATTTTCCCCAATTATGTTTTCCACACTGAGGGATTTCCCTTCCCCTAAGACCTTGCAGAAATGCTCAGCAAATCTACAAACCTGTTCCTGGGGGTCGTTGACCATATCACATTTTTTCCCTGTTGTCTATTGTGATTAAAAAAATCTATTAAATAAAATATAGGTAAAATAACGAAATAAAAATGTACTATTGGCTCTCTTGTTGTCTGGGGGTATGTATCACCAATCGTGATAATATCAATGATTCTCGCTTCAACTTGTACGCTTCTTGCGTTAGCATTAATTGTTCTCGCTTGAACAATTACGTGTGCAATTGTGTCAGGTATCGGGATTCGGATCTCGCCGCAGGATACAGTTCGTTATTACGACAATGATGCACAAGATTAGGAAAGAAGCACACAGGAACCTGTTTTTAATCTAAGCAACTTTAATCTCAACTTCTGCCAACATCCAAAAATTATAATCATCAGAACACCAACAACATTGTCCATGCAAGTTTAGTGTAGCAGCGCCGACTGGCGACTAGAAGTAGCAATTACGGGTGTACCCACCCAAGGGGAAGAACTGGGGCAAGGGTCATATAAGGAATAAGAACTGGGCCAAAGGTCATGGAAGGGATCCATCTTTGAGCTCCCAGAACCAGCTAGAAGGTTCGAGAAGGGGGGCGTTGCCAAGGCGGGGCCAGATCCCGCTGGAAGGATAAAAGGGGGCGAGAGAGGGAGTTCGGTGGCTGTCCGTGGGAATCAAGGTCGTCTCGCCGTGGAAGTCGTCCTCGTCGTCGCCATCGCTGCTGCCATGCTTGTCATCGTCCGACGCCATCTCTGCTGGATAGTCAGCCAGCTATCCAGTCAGTTAGCGTCGTCGAGCTCGGTGGTCAGGTTAAATTTCCCACACTATCACAGCCACCTCGCACGCCGAGCTCGACATTGCTGCTCTGCGATCTGCCATTAACATGATAATCTCTCACATTAACATGCTAATATCTCACATTAACATAGCCACCTCCACGCCTTCGTAGTGGAGGCCACTGTCCAGTTACATTAACATCACGAGCCCTGCCCACTTTGTTTATGACCCTTGGGCTACAATATTTTTAAACGTTTAAAACAGTCTGCCTTACCAGCTTTCCCCCTCTTTTCTCCTCCTGATGACGATCGCTTGTGTTGTGGTCGAGACGTAATTTTTTTTTTACCTATCTTCGTGACTTTACCGAAAGACCCATGGATATGAATTCCTGCAGTCACGAAAGCTTTAAGCCAAGATTTATGCCAAATAGTCAGTATAAAAACCTTTTGCTCCTGGGCTGCCCCATCATATAACAGTACATTCTATCATCAAACTAACGTTTAATACCATATATTGGAAAATATTCCTACGCGGTGGTGGTAAATCCAAACATTACAACTTTCAAGCAAAGGCTTGTGAGTAAGTAAACTCCACGATGCCTGTCTCCCTTGTGTTCGGGACGCTGCTGAAGCAGCAGGGGGTGCTCCTTTTGCCTTTGTTGTTTCAATGGAGGAGTTCACAGGCCTCCGTTACTGTGTTTTTTATAACGCGCTAAATCCATATATATGTAAAAAGATAACTATTACGTAAAAAATAGAAAATAAAAATAGGCGATATCACTCTTCATATAATTTTTTGAAAATGGCATTTGTACAACACCCCTAATGATGGTGATAGGTGTTGCACTAAAAGCTACTTCTTGATGGAGTTAAACAGTGATTTGTGATCAGGTATTACTGAGGCAGACTCCATTTCCTCAGCAACCCGTGACAAACACCCATCTTTGCAGCTCCGTATGGCTCTCCAAATCTCTGAGAGAAGGCTGCGGTAAACTTCCTCATTCTCTGACATGGGATGCTGTAGACCGCGAGAGGGGACATGTCGCTTTTGCTCACCCAGCCTGAACACCTTCTCTGTCTGCCAGGGTTTCTGTGGAGATTTGGACAGTGCACCCAAAGCAGTAATTGCAGCTGCATGAGCCACAGTCCAATAACTCACCCATTTCCCATCGACATCAGAAATGGTGGAAGATGCAAACCCCAGCTGCAAGTGATCGTGGAATTCTCACTTGCAACTTTCATTAGCTAGCTGAGACCAAGCAGATGTTTGTTCGAATAGGTTCCTGGATGTATACCCACTACCGGAGTGGAAGAATGTCATACGTATCTTAGAAATGATAAGCCGATGGTCAGTGGGCAGATTAGCCTTACGGTAGGGCCTGCTGTCAAGGACATGGGCGCGTATCCACTTTTCGATCATGATTTAGTCCAGCAGATGGTCTTGCTTGGACCCGGCATGCATCCATGATTTTGAGTGGATGCACCGATGCTGGAACAGCGTGTTGGTAATTACAAGCCCATGGGCTTCACACAAATATAGCAGCCTCCAACCGTTGTTTTTGAGCTGATCTGTCTGATGCCTTCCAGTCACTCCAGACCAGGTGCCAGCATCATGACCCACTCGGGACTCAAAGCCACCCAACAAGATGATTCTATCTCGAGGGGCCACTTTAGCTAGCTCCTGTGACAGGATGTCATAAAAGACATGTGATTCATCGGCCTTGCCTGCATTCCTCTACTGATGTTCATCTTCGTTTCGCAAGCGTAGAGAAGGAAGGGAATGACCGTGGCCGAGAAGACCTGAAGCTTCGTGCGGAGCGACAGACCAGGTAGCTTCCACACAGCGTTACGCAACCGATTAAAAGATATTGCCACTCGACTGATTCGGAGTGAGACCTCTGCTGTTAAACCGGTGCCGGTAATGAGCACAGTCCAAGTATGGGAAACTCTCTCTACAACTACCCCATCACCGATTGGGAGTTGTGGGGGTGGAGTGTCCGATGGTACAAAATACCCAGGCAGGTGCTTAGTTTTGGTGGGGCTGATGGTGAAGCCCCACCTCTTAGTGGCACGCTCTAGCAGCAGTGTCTCCAACTCCTCCTCTGAATGAGCAGCAATTACCAAATCATCAGCATACATAATGTGGTTGACCAATAGGGAGACATTCCTTGACCGCACCCGGGCAGCCTCCCATTGTATCTGTACCAAATGAAAATTCCTCCAGTACAGCTATTGAAGGCTTTACGAACTACGTGGTCAAAATAGATGTTAAATAATGTGAGAACCAGAGAACATCCTTGTCGCACCCCAAGGTGTACAAGGAATGGCTCTGACTCCCAGCCACATAGTTTTACCTGGGCCCGTTCATCATCATGAAGGTCTTTAATGATAGTGAGCAGCGGGTCAGGGACTCCGAAAGAACGAAGAACAACCCAGAGCCCAGGCCTACTGATGTTATTATAGGCCTTGACTAGTTCAATAAAGCAGAGATGTAGGTCTTGTTTGAATCCCCTACTCCGCTGATGTAGCAGATGGACAGCAAATATGGCATCTGTGCAGGACTGTCCACTCCTGAAACCGCATTGGGGCTCCGCAAGCCTCTCCTCAGCGTGCCGAGCAAGGCAATGTTGAATAATCCTTGCCAGGACCTAACCCGGCACACTGAGGAGTGAGATGCCCCTGTAGTTGTTACAGTTTGTGTGGCCTTCTTAAAGAAGGGGACCACCAGGGCATCTATCCAATCCTGCATAACCCTTCCAGCGGTCCAGACTGTTGTTATGATGTCACATAGGGCAGTCTGCGCACAAACGCCACACACCCTCAGCATTTTGCTTGGGAGATCATCTCTGCCCGGTGCCTTTTCTGGTCTCAGACTCTGGACCGCCTTCAGTACTTCGTCAACAGATGGTACCTCAGCCAGCCACTCACAAGGGGTGACCTCTTCCAATATTTTAGGCACCGCAGCCTCAGCAGGGTCATCCCCACTTTGTCCCATGATGTTTTCCATGTCGAGGGATTTGCCCTCCCCCAGGACCTCACAGAAATGCTCAGCAAATCTGCAAACCTGTTCCTGGGGGTCGGAGATTGGATCACGATTAGGGTGGGCCTGTCGCTTTTTCTCAACCATCCTGAACACCTCCTCTGTCAACCAAGAGTGGAGGACGATGCCAACCCCTGCCGCAAGCGATGATGAAATTCTCGCTGGCAACTTCCATCAGCTAGATGAGACCAGGCCACCTTAAGTTGGAATCGGTGTCCTGTGTGTACACCCATCACCGGAGTGGAAGAATGGCAGGTGCATCTTACAGATGACAAGTCGATGGTCAGATGGCAGATCAGTTCCACGGTAGGTCCTGGTGTCAAGAACATGGGCTCGCATCCGCTGTTCCATCACTATGTAGTCCAGCAGATGTTCTTGCTTGGACCAGGCATGCATCCATAATGTTGTGTGGATGCGCCGATGCCGGAACAGCGTGTTGGTAATTACAAGCCCGTGGGCTTAGCAGCCTCCTGCCGTTGTTATTGAGCTGATTTGGCCCATGCCTTCCAATAAATCCAGACCAGGTTCCTGCATCAGGCATTGAAGTCACCCAATAAGATGACTCTATCCCGAGGGGCCACTTTAGCCAGCACCTGTGACAGGAGGTCATAGAAGGCATCTGACTCATCGGCCTTGCCTGCATCCCTCCACGGATGTTCGTCTTCGGTGGGGGCATAAATAACCACCACCACTCCTTGCCTCTGGTTGATGGGAAGGCGAGCACAAAGTAGCCTGTGGCTTATAGCTTCCCACACCTCACCGACACGGCCCCACGCCCCCTTCATTATTTTGTTCATAAGTAGAGCCACACCATTTTGTTTGGCAGTCTCCTGCCCCGAGTAGAGGACCATCCCCCCCTCATGGTGGCAGGAGCCAGAGCCGGTCCACCGGACCTCCTGAATGCCACAGAGATTCAGGCAGTGCCGGTCCAGCTCCCAACTGCTGCTACATAGATCCCTTAAGAGCGCTGTTGTGAGTGCAATGCAAGACCGAGGTTGATTCTGCGTAACATGTTGGGAGTACGGCTCTCCCGTTGAGTCCTGGGGCGGGGGGTCCCTGACGCTGTAGTCGACCTCGACGGTGAATTTGCGTACCCTGGGCTTCTGGTACGTTGCCTCGTCGCCCAGGAGTTGAGGCCTGCGTCAGGGTTGGTGTGAATGGTCCCCGCGGTGGTCTCTATCTGTGTAAGTCGCTGTGGTGTTCCGTCATTGTCGACACGGGGGTCGCTGCGTGAAGTCGGTGAACTGCAGGGTTCTGTAGACGCGTGCTATTACTGTCGCCGAGAGTTTGAAGAGTTGGTTTTACTTGGTTGTCAAGAAAATTATTATCTGCCACAGTTGGTTCACGTCCTTGTGCATAACGAACCAAGGCATAGTTACTGCATTACAAATCTTGTTAAAATTCCCAGTATTCCAGATCGAGTTATTGTCCTTCTTTACGTTTCCTTCCGATGAAAAATATTGAGAGAATTGCACGGGAGAGAAAATAGATCCGAAGTCCTCTCTCTCCCATGTTAGAAATGAGCAACTCTCGTAGCTATCAGCTGGAATTGGAATATTTCCCCCTTCACTGCCGATGCCGGATGGGAAAATTTGTGAGGTTTCAGGACTTTTTCAGTTGGTGCAAGCAGCTATGTCTCTGCGCATTGTCTAACCGATTCATAATCCCCTAGACACCGTGACTCACAAGGAGGGAGGTGGCTGAGAAGAAGTGCCGGGCCTATTTTGCCTCTGGTGAGAACATCTCACATCCGAAAATTTGCAATCATTACCACAGCATTGGGCAAGCTGAGTATATTTGCAGATGTTTGTTGGGTATTTTTCTGAGATGTTGCCCAAAAGCTTTGTTTAACACGGGGGCAGGGGTGCATATGCGTGTGTTAATGTGTTCCCAATCTGTATTGCCTGATGCGCTGATGGAAACAAAATGATTCACTCGGAGTACAGGATATAGCCGCTGAACACCGAGTCTCTGTGCACGTTGAAGAACAAATTAATGTGCGGAGCCTCCAACTCCAGCCAAACCTCGTCCTCGGCTTTGAGACTCAGCACGACGCTGCCACTTATTGCGTTGAATTTCTCACCGCACACCTTAGAGATGATGTTCCCGTTTTTCATGATCATAACCACAATGTACTTTTCACCGGGGTGCGCGTACAGCGTGAAATAGTAGACGCCTGGATGGGCGCAGGTGAACTTCCCTGTGCCGGGGTTGTAGTGGCCCTGCGGGTTGGTGATGATGACGTTGAACGTCACGGGGGAGCCGGCCGCCGGCGTGTAAGTGTCGACCTTCGCAGAGAAGGCCGACCTGGGCCCCACGCCGCTCTCTCCCCGCTCGCCTTTCTCGCCTCTTTCGCCCTGCTCACCTGCGACTCCCGGAGTCCCCGCGAGCCCTGGTTGGCCAAGAGGGCCCAGCTTTCCTGGCAGACCTAGTCGGACAACACGGTCCAAACGCACGGCGTGTGCATGTGCGTGTGTTAACCCACAGTAGTGTAGCGGTTAGCACTATGAACCCAGCAGAGACCTGAGTGCGATTCCCGCTCATGGTCAACACAAGCGACGAATATCTGAACCAGTCCTGGGACTCCTTCCCTAGGTCGACTCAGCCTCAAATGATTACCTGGTGCAATGTGTGCACAACGCCACTTGGGAGACAAAGGCATGCCGGCCTTCATCGGTGCTCACTAACAGCACTTGCCACAACAGTCTGATAAGGCTATACGGGGGATTTTTGTATATTTATCCCCACTCTCAAACCGAGAGATGGGGCAATTCTGCACCCATGTTGATGACGGTGAGCCAAACCTGCACAATTGGTGTCTTTTAACTTCACGTAAAAAAGTATAGGAGAGGTGATACATCGCTTCGTGGCACATGCAGCCTGGTTTACAGGAGGTCGTGCGCTCGATCGCATTCCTGACGCCAGCTGTTTATTTGGAGTTTGCATGCGTCTCTCCCCGTTGTTGTGTGGATTTTTCACTGGGTCCTCCGATTTTCCACCCTCCACATGTTTACATGTATTTATCTGAATTTATGTCCACGTGATGATAAGTCCACTTCGTCGAGCTATCATTACGTGTGGCCAGGTCGCTTCTGAACAAGAGTTACATATGTCGCGTGGTGTTTATTAACGCGGAAAACTTCGTATTTTTCTCCTGAGTTACTTTATTCACAGCGTCTCACACGGATGCTCCTCACGTTCAACACCACGTACTCATGTCGCAAACTCTTTCTTTCTTCCTCCGCTAGCCTGTTACTCCCCGCTCTCCTAGGCTGTCACGGACTCTCTCTGTACACTCTGCTAGCTTCTCACCACTAAAGCCTATCACACTCAAACTAAAGATTTTCCGCTAGTCTTTCCACTGATAGCGTGTCTCGCCCTTTCCCCCAGCGGGGGATCAGCCATCATCTCTGGGGAGGACGAGGTGTGGAGGGCAAGGTACCGTACTTCTCTTGAATACTGTTCACTGCTTCATCTCCAACCAACTGCTTCATCTCCAACCAACTTGCTTCACAAGTTCCTCTTATATCTCCCTCCTAATTATGTGCCCTCAGGTGGCCCTCATTAAGCCAGCGTCTTCCGGACGCCTCTTGCACGTGTTCTCACCCTCATCTTCACTATCTCTCGCCTCCTTGACACCTACCCCGCGTTTGCATTTGCAGCCAGCCAATCACTGCCTCGTTCCCTAATTGTTGGCGTCTCTCTGTCTGCTGTCTCCCAGGCCACCCGCCTGCACCTGCTCGTCCTGAGCTGACCTCACTGTTTGCAACCCCGTACATGAATGCAACTGCTGTTTGCAAACCCTGCGAACGTTACGCCACTACGCATAGTTCAGTGAGGATTACTTGGTAATAAAATAAATACATAGAATCAGCTGCTAGGAGCACACGAGTCAGTGTCACAGTCCCACCTGGGTCTCCAGTCAAGCCTCGAGCCCCGAGGTCTCCCTTGGCTCCGGGTGCTCCGGTAACGCCTGCGAGAAGAACAAAGCATGGCTCGTCCGCTACTCAAGCCACTCTCAATTCACACCACTCGCTTCCACTCACTCTCCTGCCTCTCCACTCTCATCTCACTCTACTCCCCTCCACGCACTCCCCTGCCTCTGCCCTGTCATCTCACTCTACTCCCCTCCACTCACTCTCATCCCTCTCCACTCTCATCTCAGTCAACGTCCCTCCACTCACTCTCCTACCTCTCCCCTCTCATCTCACTCAACTCCCAACACGCACTCTCCTTGCCTCTCCCCACCCATCTCACTCCCCTCCACGCACTCTCCTACCTCTCCCCTCTCATCTCACTCATATCCCCTCCACGCACTCTCCTGCCTCTGCCCTCTCATCTCACTCTACTCCACACGAGACACTCTCCTACGATAATGAGTGAGTGAACGATCGAGTGCATGACATGGCGAGTGAACGATTGAGTGAGTGAATGAGTGAGTGAATTAGTTAGTGAATGAGTGAGTGAGTGAACGAGTGAACAAATGAGTGAGCAAGTGAACGAGTGAGTGAACGAGTGAGCGAGTGAGTGATCGCGTCGCACCACCAGCGCACCGTGGGGGATTCTCTGGGACCCGACCCCTCACCGTCTCTGCCGTCCCTCCCGGGGGCCCCAGGGGTCCCGTGCTGCCCCGGGGCTCCGGGCTGACCGGGGATCCCGTTGATGCCCGCGCAGATGGTCTTCTCCTGCTGGGCTCCCACCACCACCACCCCCAGCAGCAGCAGCGGCAGGGCCGAGATGGACATCTGGGGACAGCAGTGGCGAGATGTTAACTAGCTCGCCTGGTACACAGGATGGATTTAAACACGAATTATTATTTTATTTTACCAAGTAAGGTATTAATGAGCTGCTATATAGTAGCTCTTTTTTCACAAGCGCCCTGCCCATCACAAATGCGGGTCTATGTGTAAGTCGCCTCGTCTCTGTGCGAGGCAGTGGGTCCTTGTGTGAGTCTACTCGTCTCAATGTGAGTTCACGGGTCTCTTTGTGAGTTTATGGGTCTTATTGTGAGTCTGTGGGTCTCTGTGAGTAATATGGGTCTCTATGTGAGGAATCTACGGGTTTCTGTGTGAGGCTATGGATCTTTGTATGAGTCTATGGATCTCTGTGTGAGGCTATGGATCTTTGTGTAAGTGTACGAGTCCCTGTGTGAGTTTGTGGATCTATGTATGAGTTTGTTGGTCTATATGATTATACGGGTCCCTTTGTGAGTCTATGGTCATTTTGTGAGTCTATGTGTCTCTGTGTGAGGAGTATATGGCCTTTGCGTGAGTCTGCGGGTCTATGTGTGAGTCAACTCGTCTTCATGTGAGTCTACGGGTCTCTGTGTGTCTTTTAATTTTTGTGTGCCTCTATGGGTCTGTGTGAGTCTTTGGGTTTCTTTGTGAGGCTATGGATCTCTGTGTACATCTATGGGTCTGTGTGAGTCTACGGGTCCCAGTGTGAGTCTGTGGATCTACGTGTGAGTCTGTGGGTGTATGTGTAATGAGTCTATGGGTCTCCGTGTGAGTCTATGAGTTTCTGTGTGATGCTATGGATCTCTGTGTACATCTATGGGTTTGTGTGAGTCTACGGGTCCCAGTGTGAGTCTGTTGATTTATGTGTGTGTGTTTGGGTCTATGTGTGAGTGGACTCATCTCTATGTGAGGCTATGGGTCTTTTTGTGAGTCTATGGGTTCCTGTGAGTAATATATGGGTCTATGTGTGAGGAATCTATGGGTTTCTGTGTGAGGCTATGGATCTCTGTGTGAGGCTATGGGTCTCTGTGTGAGTCTATGGGTCTGGTGTGATGAGTCTATGGGTCTCTGTGTGAGTCTTTATACGTACGGTAAGTTGAATTTTCTTTCGCTCCACCGTACGTAGCAGCTGAGCGTCCTGCTAACCGCAGGTTGTCGGTGCTCAGCGTTGGTCACCGAGTCACTGGAATCCTCTCCCCCGTCTCCCCTTTTAAACGTTACTCGGGTCACGTGCTCCTCCATTTCCAACTTGGCCCAGACCTCCCACGTGTGACGTCACAGTCAACACGCGCGCGCACAAACAAGAAAGACAAAGATCCCCCGCGTAGCCTGTAACAGACTGCCGGGGGCAAGTGGCTGTTAGTAGCGAGACGTAGCAGCGCCTATGAAGGCAACCGGCACTGTGGCACACGAGGGGGTGGGTGGCCAGCAGCACCTCGCCCAACCGCCTTTGTCTCCATTAGTGGTGATATTTAGCAGTGACGTGCGGTGAGGTCAATGGCTGGGGAGGCACTGGCTCGTATCAAAGCCTGTGAGGGGGGCGTGTCTTCACTGAGGGGGCGTGTCTTCACTGAGGGGGCGTGTCTTCACTGAGGGGGCGTGTCCTCACTGAGGGGGCGTGTCCTCACTGAGGGTGTGTCGTCACTGAGGGGGCGTGTCGTCACTGAGGGGGCGTGTTCTCACTGAGGCGGGCTTTTCTGACACGCCCCCCTCAGTGAGGCAAATGTGAAAGCTGCCTCCCCTGGTGCTTTTTGATTGCAGTTTCATCACGAGACATGCGAGACTAGATATCTTTATACACATACGTGAAATAAGTTACCTGGATTATGGAAGGCGAGGACATGAAATGAAGGGGTCTATAAACATTACCTTGGTGACATACTGAGATAGTAACAGGCACGTGCTTATTGCCCGCGTTCCATCCAGTTTCTGAGGGGTTGCGCAATCAGAGAGCAGGCTGAGCTCGTCACTGCCTCACCTCTCGTCTCTCCCTGTATTTGCAGTGGAGCTCGGCAAATTTGGCGATTTTGACTATGAAAATTATTGGATTCATACAGAAATTATATTTATAACACAGATTAGTGGGGAAATCTTCCTATTCCATTTCATTCTCTTTTTTACTTAAAGTAAAGCTATTTGCCTCCCCTGCCTCGCCTTACCGCACGTGACTGCCCCCGTGAGTGAGTGGTTGGGTGAGTGAGTGGGTGAGTGGGTGAGTGAGTGGGTGAGTGAGTGGGTGAGTGAGTAGGTGAGTGAGTGTATTGGTGAGTGTGTGGGTGTGTGGGTGAGTGTGTGCGTGAGTGTGTGGGTGAGTGTGTGGGTGTGTTTGTAGTTCTGTCCTTCAAGTCTTCATTGAACGGATCTGATCTGCACACACACAGACACACACACACGTACAACAAAGATCCCCCATGTAGCCTGTAACAGACTGTTGGGGCAAGCGCTGTTAGCGAGCACCTATGAAAGCCGGCATGGCACACGAGGGGGTGGGTGGTCAGCACCACGCCCGGTCACCTTTGTCTCCCCAGCAGTGATGATTTTACGTCCCACACCAGGTACTCATTTGAGACTGAGTCGACCTAGCGGAGGCCCAGGGCCAGTTTAGATAATCGAAATCACCGATGTTGGCCGTGATTCGAATTCGGGTCACTGGGTTCGCTGCACAGCGTAGCGCTAACCGCTACGCTACCGCTCCCCCACACAACAACAACAACAACAACCGCCATCCACCACTAAATGGCAGTGACGTCACCACCGCGATTGCGCCAGGCTATGTGCACGTTGAGTCCACGTGAAGTTTCGAACTCCCGCTCGCAGGAGGTCCCGGGGCAGACCCAGTAGGTGCCATGGGTCGATTGAGATGACTAGCTGATGCACCACCTGTGCATACTCTTGTTTAAGAGCCACCCGGCGCTCCGCGTGTTGTTGTGAGCGTCGCTCCTCTGCCCTCCTTTGTTGCTGGAGTACGACTGCCTACAACTGCCAAATAGCGTTCTTAACAAGCCTCCTTAGAGGCCAAATCTTGACACCGCTGGTACCAGCTATCAGCAAGTCCACTCAGCTCCGCATCCTTTTGTACCACATCACTCGATTTCTTTTTTTACCCTTGCCACACCGTATAGCCCCCTCTATCCGGTCGAATTAAAGCTGTTTAGGCGTTCGGTGGCTGGGCATGGGGGCGACATGACCCAGCCAACGCAGCGTTGCCTGCCAAAAAAGCTCACCGATGGGAATTTTTCCAGATCTTTAAAGGTTTTTTGTGAGCTCCTCTCACAATCCACCCTGGTTGAACCCAGGATGGATTATAGGCAGATCAGCCTAATGTTTCTAACCGGGCAAGATGTTTAGTTAGGGGGGGGATCACGTTTCGCAAGCGTAAAGAAGGGAGGACATAACTGTGGCCGAGCCGACCGGAAGCTTCATGTGGAGCAACAGACCAGGTAGCTTCCACAAAGCATTACATAACTGATGAAAAGATAATGCAGCTCGACTGATTCAGAGTCAGACATCTGCTGTCAATCCGAAGCTGGTTATGTGCACACTGCCCAGGTATGGGAAACTCTCCACTCTCTCCACAACTGCCCCATCACCAATTGCGAGTTGTGGGGGTGGATTGTCCAATGGCACAAAATACCCAGGGCCGGTGCCTAGTTTTGGTGGGGCTGATTGTAAGGCACCACGTCTTCGTGGCATGCTCCAGGTTCACCAGATCATCGGCATACGTAACATGGTTGACCAATAGGCATCCATCCTTTGACCTCACCTGGGCATCGATCAGCCTCCCAATGTGTCTGTACCAGATAGAAATTCCTCCGGTCCGGCCATCGTTGGCATCACGAGCTACGTGGGAGAAATAGATGTTAAATAATGTGGGAGCCCGAGGACATTCCTGTCATACCCCAAGGTGATCAGCGAAAGGTTCCGACTCCTGGCCACGTAGTTTTACCAGGGCCTGCCCACAATCATGAAGGTCCTTAATAATTGTGAGCAGAGAGTCACGGACTTCAAAAGCACAGAAGAACAACCCAAAGCCCAGGCCTACTGATAGTATCATAGGCCTTGACCAGGTTAATTAAGGAAAGATGTGGTTTTGTTGGAATTCCCTACATCTCTGTTGTAGCAGACGGACAGAAAATATGGCATTTGTGCAGGACCGCCCTTTTCTGAAACCACATTAGGCTCCAAAAGCCTCACCTCAGCAATCCTGGTTAGGGGATGTTGATGAATTCTTGCCAGGACCTTTCCTGCAACACTGAGGAGGGAAATGCCCCTGTTGGGCATCCTTCCAATCCTGCAGAACCCGTCTGCTGGTCCAGACTGTTATTATGATGTCATGTAGGTCAGTTTACTCACAAATGCCACCATCCCTCAGCATTTCACTTGGGAGATCATCTCTGCCCGGTGCTTTCCAGTTCTCAGATTTTGGATCACCTTCTGTACTTTCTCAACAAATAGCACCTTAGCCAGCCACTCACAGGAGATGACTTCTTCAATTCTCTTTGGTTATTTCGGTAAAGTCACCTAGGTGGAAATAAAACAAAATAAATCACGACGTTTCGATCGCAACACAAGCAATCGTCATCAGATGAACACCTGATGACGATTGCTTGTGATTTTTCCGAAAAAACCAAACAGTATGAATTCCTGCAGTCATGAAAGCATCAAATCAAGATGACTACTTCTTCCAATATATGAGGCACAACAGCCTCAGCAGGGTCATCCATATTTTCCCCATGATGTTTTCCACACTGAGGGATTTCCCCTCCTCAAAGACCTCACAGCAATGCTCAGAAAATCTACAAACCTGTTCCCGGGGGTCGAAGACCATTTCACATTTTTCCCTGTTGTCTATTGTGATTAAAAAAATCTATTAAATAAAATATAGCTAAAATAACGAAATAAAAATGTACTTTTGGCTCTCTTGTTGTCTCGGGGTATGTGTAGTGACATAGAACGGTCACTACTGTGTCGGCCCGTACGAGGGCTATGGGCCCCAAGGGGGTGCCTGGGGGGTCACGTGGTGGAGAGATCCGGACCTTCCCAGAGGTGGGGGAAGTGAGGCGTGTCCTGGGAAGGGAGGCGTGGCCTGGAGGGAGCCAGCCACGCCTGGGCGGAGCCGGCCACGCCAAAGCAGATATAAGCGTGGTGTGAACGGAGAGCGAGGCTGTTGTACTGTACTCCGAAGAGTGAAGACACCATCGGTCGTCAAGTCCCGAGTCGTCGTCCTGGGCCAGGCAGGCCGTTGCCTGCCTGGTCCAGTCTGTGTCGCGTTCCAGAGTGTTAGTGAGTTGAGGAAGGTGGTCACCACCTCATGTACAGTGTTATATTATTTACCGTTTAATAAATAGTGTTGCCTCCAAGCTGCGTGTGTGTGCACCTAATTCGAACCGACTACATTTGGCGTCAGAAGTTGTGGAAAAATAAATATTGCTAGGTGTTATCCTAGGGAAGTAAAATGGGCACACGAAAAACAAATACAAAACTCATCTGGACGTCTTCGTACGACGGGGATGGTGTGACGACCGTCCTTCGGACAGCCCCGGGGATGGCAGCCCCGGTGACAGAGAGAGAGAGAGATGGCGCTGCACGCGGAGCGGCGGGACTTGCATCGCACTGCTGCTTCGCCGTCATCGGGAACCGAGCGACGGAGCCGCGGAGAGAGGACACCATTGTCGCTGAGGGGCTGGCGGGGGAGGCCCGGGCATGCGGGCCACCCGGTGGGCCCGCCATTTCGGCGGCTGGTCGGGGCGCTGTTCCCGCCAAAACGCCGTTCCCGCCATTTTGGCGGCTGGTCAGGGCGCTGTTCCCACCAAAACGCCGTTCCCGCCATTTCGGCGGCTGGTCGGGGCGCTGTTCCCGCCAAAACGCCGTTCCCGCCATTTCGGCGGCTGGTCGGGGCGCTGTTCCCGCCAAAACGCCGTTCCCGCCATTTCGGCGGCTGGTCGGGGCGCTGTTCCCGCCAAAACGCCGTTCCTGCCATTTCGGCGGCGGGTCGGTGCGCTGTTCCCGCCAAAACGCCGCTCCTGCTGCCGAAATGCCGCTCCCGCCGACATCAACGCCTGCAGAGGGGGAGTTCCAGCCTTCTGCTCGAGCGCGAGAGGTGGATGGGTTCGCAAGAGCAGGCCGTGTTCACCATGAAAGATTCTTCGGGCCGTCCCAGTGCTCCACCTTGCCGCCCTCCGCTATGCACAGTTTGCCAGGCGAGTCGTGACATGACAAGCACCCGGCCCCAAGAAAAATAATAATAATCTTCACCCATCTTGCGTGTGCCGGGTTGCGATCGCGTGTGTTTTTTTTTTACTCGCTGGGTTGCGGAGCGTGTTCGTCCGGTTGTGTGCGTGAGAAATTGACGCGGCGACCATGCGGGTTCTGCTTGTAACAGTGTTTGTTGTTAATTACGGCGTCGAGATCGGTATCTTCTGGGTGTAGTTAATGATTAATTCGTTGTTGGTGTCCCGAGCTCCGTTGATATCCTCTATGTTGCCGTGTTAACGACTCGTGTTGTTACATCGTTGTGTTGCGAAATCGCCATTGTTATTGTCTATACTGTATGGAGTTCGCTCGTGATTGTCACTTGTAACTGTCAGAAACTTTGATCGTCATTGTTGCCAATGTACAGACCGTATGGAGCTTTGCTTGGTATTTTTAACAGTGTATGGAATGTTGGGTACTTGCTTGTGATTATTTACTATGTACGGATTGTCTGGAGTATTGATTGTGTGTGTAGCCATGTGGGGACTGGATGGAGCATTGCGCCAAATGATTGACTGTACGAACTTCGTATACTGCATATACTGTATTAATCAATTCGGCGATTCTTGGGGTTTGTGTCTAGTTTTTTTGCTCTCAAAATTCGAATGCCCTGAGTCCCATGGTTAATGTTGAAGGGGATTTTGAAATGACAGGTTCGGTTTGTTTCAAACTCACTAGTTGGTTCCTGTCCGTTGTTGCACAGATGATGTCTTTTGTGCGGGAATGCTCCTTGTGTTCTACATGGATCGGGGGTGCGTTTCCGTTAATTGCCGTCAAATTGCGTTGCTCTCTCCACTCGGTTGGTACAGCTGCATGCTGCAATGCGAGTCTCGAAGATGATGTGTACGGATACGGGATGTGAGGTGTATTGTTGTGACCATTGAATATTCGGGATCGTCACAAATTGTGCGTACCTGTTCGGCATTGGATCAGTTCTGTGGGGGATCATAATTCAAATTGTATGTGTTGTGATGGTGTTAAATTGCGATGGTGACATGCTGCCAGGGATTTGGAATTGTGGTGCTGGCGGTCACTTATCTTGGGGCGCAGATCCTGACCAGGATGGCCCAGTGAGTGTTGCGTGTCTAACATGAACGTTGTGGTCCCGTCATGCTATGGCTGACGGCTTGACCTGACAGCCCGGAGATTGAAACACTCTGTGGTATGTCTAGCCTAGTGGGCTGTGCGCTCACAGGGCTCGGAGAGTGTGGTCCCGTCATGCAATGGCTGACGGCTTGACCTGACAGCCCGGAGATTGAAACACTCCGTGGCATGTCTAGCCTAGTGGGCTGTGTGCTCACATGGCTCGGAGAGTGTGGTCCCGTCATGCAATGGCTGACGGCTTGACCTGACAGCCCGGAGATCGAGACACTCCGTGGCTTGTCTAGCCTAGTGGGCTGTGCGCTCACATGGCTCGGAGAGTGTGGTCCCGTCATGCTGTGTCTGACGGCTTGACCTGACAGCCCGGAGATCGAGACACTCCGTGGCTTGTCTAGCCTAGTGGGCTGTGTGCTCACATGGCTCGGAGAGTGTGGTCCCGTCATGCAATGGCTGACGGCTTGACCTGACAGCCCGGAGATCGAGACACTCTGTGGCTTGTCTAGCCTTGTGGGCTGTGCGCTCACATGGCTCAGGGAGTGTGGTCCCGTCATGCTATGGCTGACAGCTTGACCTGACGGCTCGGAGGTTGAGACCCTCCGAGGCGCGTTGAAACAGTGGGCTGGAGATTCGTAAGGTTCAGGTGGAGTTGTCCTGTTACGTTGAGACTGTATCCCTCAGTTGTTAGGGTGCATGTTGTCCAGTGAGTGAACGATGGGTCGTCTCAGCTCGGTCGGTACAGCTATATGCTGCGATGCGAGTCTTGGAGAGAGACTGGGTTAAAATCCCACCGATATGGCCGACGCGTGCTGCTGGTTGTGACGCTGCGTCGGAAAGGCGGTGGGGTGGTAACATGGAAATTCCCCCCCCCGATATGGCCGACGCGTGCTACTGGTTGTGACACCACGTCGGAAAGGCGGTGGGGTGGTAACATGGAAATTCCCCCCCCCCCGATATGGCCGACGCGTGCTACTGGTTGTGACGCCACGTCGGAAAGGCGGGGGGGTGCTAACGGGTGACTGTCATTGCATGCGTGATTCTAACGGGGGGGGGGGGCTGTGCTGGAGCGTAAGTGGGTTTGCCGGTTTTCATGTATATTTGTTGTTTATTCCCCATTTTCTATGCGGTTTCCTTCCTTTTACCCTCGTTGATTCTGTATATATTATGTGATTGTATTTCGGTCGCCGGTCATTTATTGATGTTGCTGGTTCGGAGGCACACCTTTTCGATGTTTCACAGTTGTGTTACGCCGGGGACGGCTGTGTGTTTATACAGGGGGGGGGGTGATGTAGTGACATAGAACGGTCACTACTGTGTCGGCCCGTACGAGGGCTGGGGGCCCCAAGGGGGTGCCTGGGGGGTCACGTGGTGGAGAGATCCGGACCTTCCCAGAGGTGGGGGAAGTGAGGCGTGTCCTGGGAAGGGAGGCGTGGCCTGGAGGGAGCCAACCACGCCTGGGCGGAGCCGGCCACGCCAAAGCAGATATAAGCGTGGTGTGAACGCGGAGCAAGGCTGTTGTACTGTACTCCGAAGAGTGAAGACACCATTGGTCGTCAAGTCCCGAGTCGTCGTCCTGGGCCAGGCAGGCCGTTGCCTGCCTGGTCCAGTCTGTGTCGCGTTCCAGAGTGTTAGTGAGTTGAGGAAGGTGGTCACCACCTCATGTACAGTGTTATATTATTTACCGTTTAATAAATAGTGTTGCCTCCAAGCTGCGTGTGTGTGCACCTAATTCGAACCCACTACATATGTATCACCAATCGTGATAATATCAATGATTCTTGCTTCAACATGTACGCTTCTCGCTTCAACATTAATGGTTGCAATTGTGTCAGGTCTCGGGATTCAGATCTCGCCGCCAATGATGCACGAGTTTAGGAAAGAAGCACACAGAAACCTGTTTTTAATCTAAGTAACTTTGATCTCAACTTCCGCTAACATCCAAACATTATTATCATCAGAACAATAACAGTGTCCAAGCATGTTTAGTGTCGCAGCGCCGACTGGCGACTATAAGTAGCAATTACGGGTGTATCCACCCAAGGGGAAGAACTGGGGCAAGGGTCATGGAAGGAATAAGAACTGGGCCAAAGGTCATAGAAAGGATCCATCTTTGAGCTCCCAGAACCAGCTAGAAGGTTTGAGAAGGGGGGCGTGGCCTGGGCGTGGCCAGATCCCGCTGGAGGATGAAAGGGGGCGAGAGAGGGAGTTTGGTGGCTGTCCGTGGGAATCAAATGTCGTCTCGCCATGGAAGTCGTCCAAGTGATCATGAAATTCTCACTAGCAACTTTCATTAGCTAGCTGAGATTAGGCCGCTGTTTGTTCGAATAGTTTCCTGGATGTACACCCACTGCCGGAGTGGAAGAATGTCATACGTATCTTAGAAATGATAAGCCGATGATCAGTGGGTACATCAGCCTTACTGTAGGACCTGGTGTCAAAGACATGGGCGCGTATCAACTTTTCCATCATGATGTACTCCAGTAGATGTTCTTGCTTGGACCCAGCATGCATCCATGATGTTGTGCGGATGCACCAATGCCGGAACAGCGTGTTGGTGATTACAAGCCCATGGGCTGCACAAAAATGTAGCAGCCTCCTACCGTTATTATTGAGTTGATCTGTCCGATGCCTTTCAATCACTCCAGACCAGGTGCTTACATCATGACCAACTCGGGACTCAAAGCCACCCAACAAGATGACTCTATCTCGAGGGGCCACTTTAGCTAGCACCTGTGACAGGAGGTCATAAAAGGCATCTGATTCATCGGCCTTGCCTGCATCCCTCTACTGATGTTTCATCTTCGTTTCGCTAGCGTAGAGAAGGGAGGGAATGACCGTGGCCGAGAAGACCTGAAGCTTCATGCGTAGCGACAGACCAGGTAGCTTCCACACAGCGTTGCGCAACCGATTAAAAGATAGTGCCACTCGACTAATTCTGAGTGAGACCTCTGCTGTTAAACCGGTGCCGGTCATGAGCACACAGCCCAAGTATGGGAAACTCTCTCCACAACTACCCCATCACTGATTGGGAGTTGTGGGGGTGGAATGTCCGATGGTACAAAATACCCAGGCAGGTGCTTATGGTAAAGCCCCACCTCTTAGTGGCACGCTCTAGTTTCAGCAGCAGTGTCTCCAACTCCTCCTCTGAATGAGCAGCAATTACCAAATCATCAGAATACATAATGTGGTTGACCAATAGGGAGCCATTCCTTGACCGCACCCGGGCATCGATCAGCCTCCCATTGTATCTGTACCAAATGGAAATTCCTCCACTACAGCTATTTTAGGCTTCACGAACTACGTGGTCAAAATAGATGTTAAATAATGTGGGAGCCAGAGGACATCCTTGTCGCACCCCAAGGTGTACAAGGAATGGCTCTAACTCCCAGCCACATAGTTTTACCTGAGCCCGTTCTTCATTATTTCATTATGAAGGTCTTTAATGATTGTGAGCAGCGGGTCAGGGACTCTGAAAGAACGAAGAAACACCCAGAGCCCAGGCCTACTGATGGTATTATAGGCCTTGACTAGGTCAATAAAGCAGAGATGTAGGTCTTGTTGAAATTCCCTATACCTCTACTGTAGCAGACGGACAGAAAATTTGCAGTCATTACCACAGCATTGGGCAAGCCGAGCATATTTGAAGATTTTTGCTGGGTATTTTTCTGAGATGTTGCCCAAAAGCTTTGTTTAACATGGGGGGAGGGGTTCATGCGTGTGTGTTAATGTGTTCCCAATCTGTCTTCCCAGACGCACAGATGGAAACAAAAACGATTCACTCGGGGTACAGGATATAGCCGCTGAACACCGAGTCTCTGTGCACGTTGAAGTAAAAATGAATGTACGGAGCCTCCAACTCCAGCCACACCTCATCCCCGGCTTTGAGACTCAGCACGACGCTGCCACTTATTGCGTTGTATTTCTCACCGCACACCTTAGAGATGACCTTCCCGTTTTTCATAAACATAATCACGAGGTGCTGTTCACTGGGATGCGCGTACAGCGTGAAATAGTAGACGCCTGGGTGGGCGCAGGTGAACTTCCCCGTGCCGGGGTTGTAGTGGCCCTGCGGGTTGGTGATGATGACGTTGAACGTCACGGGGGAGCCGGCCGCCGGCTTGTAAGCGTCCACCTTCGCAGAGAAGGCCGACCTGGGACCCACGTCGCTCTCTCCCCGCTCGCCTTTCTCGCCTCTTTCGCCCTGCTCACCTGGGACTCCCGGAGTCCCCGCGAGCCCTGGTTGGCCAAGAGGGCCCAGCTTTCCCGGCAGACCTAGTCGGATAACACGGTCCAAACACACGGCGTGTGCATGTGTGTGTGTCACCCCACGGTAGTGTAGCGGTTAGTGCTATGAACCCAGCAGAGACCGGAGTTCGATTCCGGCTCATGTTCAACACAAGTTACGATTATCTGAACTGGTACTGGGCCTCCTACCGTAGGTCGACTAGCCTCAAATGATTACCTGGTGTGATATTTTAACAACGCCACTTGGGAGACAAAGGCTCACCAACAGCACTTTCCACAACAGTCTGTTAAGGCTATACGGGGGATCTTTGTTTTTTGTGTGTTTATCCCCACTCTCAAACGGAGAGATGTGGCAATTCTGCGTCAATGTTGATGACGGTGAGCCAAACCTGCACAATTGAGTCGTGTCCTGTGACAAATGTCTTTGTTTTGTAACAGTAAAACCTTGCCCTAAGTGTCTGTATAAAACGCGTGTTTCCGCTCTACACGGTGTACTGAATGAGTTCTGTTTTCCAGAACAAGGGGTCATGTGTGGTGCCACGACCACGGAGCACTCTCCTTCCGGCCTTCACACTAAACACCCACCCACACACAGTGCACCCACGTATTGTCCTGACGGGGGGTTGCCTGGCACATCGGGTTTAAATCCGAAGGGCCCCTAGAGGGAGGGTCCCACGGTTTCCCGGTGCCAGGAGATTGGCCGACCCTCACAGGTTTGGCATCAAGTCATCAAGTTACATTGAAGTGCCCCTAAATTGGCTTAAGATTGTATGGGCGCAGAAGGAAAATGTTCCCTGGGCCAACCGCAATGAGTTACTCACGACACTGGGAGAGGCGGAGGGTGGAATATTAGGCCAGAAGGGCAGACCAGCTGGTTAGAATTGCTGAGCACGGGTGACAATGGGTGAGGGGCCGCAGCAGCAGCAGCAGCAGCAGACCCCGTGATCCTCCATGTAGACGGCGCAGGTGAGCACGCGATTGGCTGCGCAGTACAATGCCACCCTGGGCCTTTGAAGTGAGGGGATTAGGCCGCCACGGTAGAGATGGTGGAGAGGGACGATGACGGGGAGCATGGGTAAGCGCCCGATTGGCTGCGTGGTATGACATCACCCTGGGACTTTGAAGTTTAGAGAATAAAGATAGGTATCCCGGGATGGTGAGTTCAGTTGTCTTCAACCTCCGGGCGATCCAGACCCCTCCCTGCTGTCCTGCCTCCTTGAGCCACTCGCAGCATCCATGTGATGCCCGCGAGTGCTGCTACGAGGCAGTGATAAGCGAGGGTTTCGCTCGTCGTTCTCCCTACGACTCTCACAGCGTCCGTGCGACGCCGTGAGTACAGCGACGAGGTACGTGGTAGAACGTTTGGGTAACTGGGTTCATAGGCAGAGTTAGGCTAGGCTCTCCTCGCGAAATATTCCTCCACCGGGTAATGCGTATTGGCGCCATTAATAAACTTTAGCACAGAGGATCCGTGTGGTGTGATTTCTGCGTGGGTGGGGAGAGCGTAGGTGTGGTGCGGGTACGTGCGGGCGTGTGAAACACTCGTATATTACCATCAACCCGGCCGTCGTTTTGCGTATTTGCACAGCGGATGAATGCTGACGCACAGGAGGGGGGGGGGGGGGGGGGAGGCGCGTGCATATTCACGTGTGTGAATATCTAGCGATGGGTCCGTTTATATTTAAAGTAATTCCATCGACTTTGCTGACACTGATTAGGGGGGGTCATGTGGACACCCAGGTTTTCTAACCCCTCCCCCCAGGATGAGTGAGGAGCATCCACCAAACGGGTTGGTTAGTTGAGTGTTGACTCATACACACGTGCTCATTCCACCTTGTTCGCACGCACCTGCACCACAGCTCACTTTCTGAACTCCCACTGACTGACCCGGACACGTCATCCGCCATCGCCGTGGTTTAGTCGGGGAAAGTGCCGTGTCGCCTTGCGTGCATAGCAACTCCACACACCACCCCCCCCCCCCGCCACACCATACCAACCCCCACCTCCGCATTAGTGGTGGTGTACGTGGGGAGTGTGTGGGATAACTCCAGGCGGTGGGGAGCCAGCCACTAGCCATGTGCCACAGAGAGGACGCTGGTGCGGGGAGGCCGATCACACGATCGGTGGCAGCCCGGTGAGAAGGGGCGGAGGAGGGAGAGGAGGAGAGGGGCGTAAGCCCCCACAGATGTTACACCTATACACGATATACCTCGTGAGCTCTGTTTTCTACAACATGGAGATACATAGAGACCCATCGACTAAACTATTTGTTAAATTCCCAGGTGTAAGGTCCACTGAGCTGCTGATTTGCTATTTTTTTCAGAAGCGACCTGCCTGTCGACAGTGACAGCTAAATGTGGTGGCTGATATCATCACGTTGACATTTATAGCAGTCAAATACTGTAAAGTCTAAACGCATGTTTCTAAAGGTGGAAGGAAAACCAAAGGAACCCGATGAAAAATCCACAAAACCACGGGGAGAACATGCAAACGCCGAATATATATCGGGCATCGTCAGGGTTGGGTTCGAACCCACGACCTCCTGTGGATCAGACGAGGAAGTTAACATCTCCTAATCCTGACGCCAGCTGTTTAATTGGAGTTTGAATGCGTTTCTCCCTCCCCGTGGTTGCGTGGATTTTTCACTGGGTCCTCCGTTTTTTTTTCATTCCACATTTAGAAATATATTTGGCTGAATAAATGTCCACGTGATGATGAGTTCACTTCGTCGAGCTATCATTACGTGTAGCCAGGTCGCTTCTGAACAAGCGTCACATAGCTCAGTGAGCCTCACTTGGTAATAAAATAAATACATAGAATCAGCTGCTCGGAGCACACGAGTCAGTCACAGTCCCACCTGGGTCCCCAGTCAAGCCTCGAGCCCCGAGGTCTCCCTTGGCTCCGGGTGCTCCGGTAACACCTGCGAGAAGAACAAAGCATGGCTCGTCCGCTCCTCAAGCCACTCTCAATTCACTCCACTCGCCTCCACGCACTCTCCTGTCTCTCCACTCTCATCTCACTCTACTCCCCTCCACGCACTCTCCTACCTCTCCCCTCTCACCTCACTCTACTCCCTTCCACGCACTCTCCTGCCTCTCATCTCACTCCACTCACTCTCCTGCCTCTCCCCTCTCATCTCACTCTGCTCCCCTCCACTCACTCTCCTGCCTCTCCCCTCTCATCTCACTCCACTCCCCTCCACGCACTCTCCTGCCTCTTCCCTCTCATCTCACTCTACTCCCCTCCACGCACTCTTCTGCCTCTCCCCTCTCATCTCACTCTACTCCACACGAGACACTCCCCTACGAGAATGAGCGAGTGAACGACTGAGTGCATGACATGGTGAGTGAACGTTTGAGTGAGTGAACGAGTGAGTGAACGTTTGAGTTAGTGAACAAGTGAGTGAGTGAGTGAATGAACGAGTGAGCAAGTGAATGAGTGAGTTAGTGAGTGCCCGATTGAGTGAGTGAATGAGTGAGTGAACTAGGGAGTGAATGAGCGATTGAGTGAACGAGTGAGCGAGTTAGTGAACGAGTGAGTGAACGAGTGAGCGAATGAGTGAGCGAGTGAGCGAGCGAGTGATCGCGTCGCTCCCCACGAGCGCACCGTGGGGGGGTCTCTGGGACCTGAACCCTCACCGTCTCTGCCGTCCCTCCCGGGGGCCCCAGGGGTCCCGTGCTGCCCCGGGGCTCCGGGCTGACCGGGGATCCCGTTGATGCCCGCGCAGACGGTCCTCTCCTGCTGGGCTCCCACCACCACCACCCCCAGCAGCAGCAACAGCAGCGGCAGTGCCGAGATGGACATCTGGGGACAGCAGTGGCGAGATGTTAACTAGCTCGCCTGGTATACAGGATGGATTTAGACACGAACTTTTATTTTATTTTACTAAGTAATGTTCAAATGAGCTGCTATGAAGTCGATCGTTTTTCAAAAGCGCCCTGCCCATCACAAATGATAGTTCAATGAAGTAGGCTTATCATTGTCACGTGGAAAATGAATGAGAAAATCCGGAGGAGAAAAATCCACGCGACCACAGAGAGACACGAAATATACAGAAGGCATCAGGGTCGGGATCGAACCCACGATTTCCTATATACCAAGCGAGGTAATTAACATCTCCACAGGGAGGGACAGAGAGAGATGCAAACTCCAAATACACAGCAGCAGGCATCATCGAGGTCTCGATCGAACCCACGACTTCCTGTATACCAGGCGAGGTCGTTAACATCTTCACGGGGAGAGACAGAGAGAGATTGACACAAACTCCAAAGAAAGAGCAGCAGCAGGCATCGTCAGGGGTCCGGTGATCGAACCTGACGAGGGAGAATCAGAGACAAGCGCGGAGACAGCAGCCAGAACCAGCGTGTCGAGTAGACGCTGCAGGAAGAATCCGATGAGCTGTGAAGCTCTTTTCAAGTCACAGATGCTCCGATAAGGAGGCCACGAAGTCAGAACGTTTCAACAACAAACAACACGATGCACAAACAGGATAGGAGGGCGAAGTATAGGAAAGGTAAACAAATCACGTAAAACAATATAAACAAAAACATCTATCTTCTTGGTTCTTTCGGTAAAGTCACGTACAAGGGAAATAATAAAATAATAAAAATAAAATTTTACTTAATATAATAATATTATTTTATTATGTTTTATTTTTTTGATTTTATTATTTCCCTTCTACATTACTTTACCGAAGGAACCAAGAAGATGAATCCCTGCAGTCACGAAAGCTTTAAATCGAAAAAAAAACATCTATACTAGTTGTTATCTTGCCAGGTAAAACCCCAACTGAGCAATTCACTTATTATCAGAAGAGACCTCTCCATCACAAACAATGGCAGCTCAACAAAGTGGCCTATTATCATCGTCAACATCACGTGGACATTTATAGCAGCAGCCAAACATAGAGACACAGAGATAGAGAGAGACGCTTTGAGGCCCATAGTGATACATGTGTGGATCTATGGGTTTCTGAGTGTGTTTATGAGTCTGCGTGAGTCTATGGGTTTCTGTGGGATCTATGGGTCTCTGTGTGAGTCTATGGGTCTCTGTGCATCTGTGGGTCTCTTTGTGAGTCTACAGGTCTGTGTGTGAATCTATGCGACTCCGTGTGAGTCCATGGATTTCTGTGTGTGTCTATGGGTCTCTTGTGATGAGTCTATGGGTCTCTGTGTGATAAGTCTATGGGTTTCTGTTTGATGAGTCTATGGATCTCTGTTGGGGTCTATCGATCTCTGTGTGAGTCTATGGATTTCTGTGTGAGTCTGTGGGTCTATGTGTGAGTATGTGGGTCTATGTTTGAGTTTACTCGTCTCTGTGTGAGTCTGTGGGTCTCTTTCTGAGTCTATGGGTCTTTTTGTGAGTCTATGGGTCTCTGCGTGAGGAGTCAATGGACTGAGTGAGTCTATGGGTCTCTTTGTGAGGCTATGGATATATACGTGTGTCTACGGGTCCCTGTGTGAGTTTACGGGTCTCTTCGTGAGTCAGTGGGTCTTTTTTGTGATTCTATGGGTCTCTGTGTGAGGCTATGGATCTTTGTGTGCGTCTACGATTACCTGTGTGATTTTGTGGGTCTATGTGTGAGTCTGTGGGTCTATATGATTTTACAGTGCTCTCTGTGATTCTAAGGGTAATTTTGTGAGTCTATGGGTCTGTGTGAGTCTACGGGTCCCTGTTTGAGTCTGTAGGTCTATGTGTAAGTCTGTGGGTTTATGTTTGATGAGTCTATGGGTTTCCGTGTAAGTCTATGGGTTTCTGTGTGATGCTATGGATCTCTGTGTGAGTCTACGGGTCCATGTGTGAGTCTGTGGGTCTACGTGTTAGTCTGTGGGTCTCTGTGTGAGGCAACGGATCCCTGTATGAATCTGTGGGTCTATATGTGAGTGTACTCGTCTCTACGTGAGTCTATGGGTCTTTTTGTGAGTCTATGCGTCTCTGTGTGAGGAGTCTATGGCCTCTGCGTGGGTCTTTGAGTCTCTGTGAGTAATATATGGGTCTATGTGTGAGGAATCTATGGGTTTCTGTGTGAGGCTATAGGTCTCTGTGTGAGTCTATGGGTCTCTGTGTGATGAGTCTATGGGTCTTGGAGTGATGAGTCTATGGATATCCGTCTGAGTCTTTATACGTACGGTAAGTTGAATTTGCTTTCGCTCCACCGTACGTAGCAGCTGAGCGTCCTGCTAATCGGAGGTTGTCGGTGCTCAGCGTTGGTCACCGAGTCACTGAAATCCTCTCCCCCGTCTCCTCTTTTAAACAATACTTTGGTCACGTGCTCCTCCATTTCCCACTTGGTAAAGAACGGAAACTTTGGCCGACCGTGACCTGCCTGTGACCTCTCTTTCCGCCAACAGGAAAACACAACAAGTGGAAAAAAACTGAAAAATCCGACCACTAAGGCCAGAGCCAATGGGGGATTTTGGGAGAAGGGCGGCTTCTCCTCAACAGCAGCGAGGAGACGGCTTCTCGATCGACGGCGAGGGGACCTCGACAGGGCCCTGTTATCCAATAAGCCACATTAGTGGGCACATTTGCCTAGGGGCCGACTCACTCACTGATTCACCTACTCACCCACTCACTAATTCACCCACCCACTCACTCAGCTACTCACTCACTCATTCACCCATTCATCCATTCACCAACTCACTCATTCACCAACTCACTCATTCACCCACCCACCCACTCACCCAGCAACCCACTCACTCATTCACTCACTCACGCAATAACCCACTCACTCATTCAACCTCCCACTCACTCAGCCACTCATTCACTCATTCACTCACTCACTCATTCACCCAATCACCCACCCACCCACTCAGCCACCCACCTACTCACTCACCCACTCACCCAGCAACCCACTCACTCATTTACTCACTCACGCAAAAACCCACTCACTCATTCACCCATTCACTCACTCACCCACCCACCCACCCACCCACTAAATCACCCACTCACCCACCTACCAGGGCTGTATTATCCAGTAGGCCACAGTAGTATGCACTGCCCCGAGGGCCTTCTCACTCATCCCGCCACCCACTCACTAATTAATTCACCCACTGATCCACCCAATAACTCATTCACCCACTTACCCACCTACTCACCCACCAGGAACTTGTTATCCAATAGGCCAAGTTAGTAGGCACTGTAGCCTAGGGGCCTACTCATTCACATACTCATCCACTCACCTATTCACCCACTCACCCAGCTACCCACTCACTCACCCACCCACTCACTCACCTAGTCACTCACCCACTCACTCATTCACCCACTCACCCAGCTACCCACTCACTCACCCACCCACTCACTCACCGAGTCACTCACCCACTCACTCATTTACCCACTCACCCAGCTACCCACTCACTCACCCACCCACTCACTCACCTGGTCACTCACCCACTCACTCATTTACCCACTCACCCAGCTACTCACTCACTCACCCAACCACTCACTCACCTAGTCACTCATCCACTCACTCATTTACCCACTCACCCAGCTACCCACTCACTCACCCACCCACTCACTCACCGAGTCACTCACCCACTCACTCATTTACCCACTCACTTTCCCACCAGGGCTGTATTATTAAATAGGCCACAGTACGCACTGTCCCTAGGGACATTAAAAACTATAAGGAGCCTACAAAACAAAAACGTTGACCTTGTTTTTTTATATTTGTTAAAAAAGTGATCAAGATATCTTCTTGAATAAATATATTTTATAGCAAGGATAGGCACAGTGTATATACTAAGAGGCAGAGTCATGTCAATGTCAATCGGTTTCTTTCATAAGGTAAGAGAGAAATTAACCCCGGAGATGGATGTTTTTAAATTGCAGAAATAGCAATAACTTCTTCAAATGGCGTTTGTCGCACAATCTCCATCATTCTTTTTGCCACTTCATTTGTTGGCTGCTCGTGGCAATTTTTTTCGCAGTGGTAACAAAGGTAGTTGGCTCGTTGTAAGCGAGGCGTATTACACTGAAAATAAAGTGTCAAATCTTTACGCTTGCACAAAAATAAAGCAACATGGCGCTCGCCATGCGAATGTCCTGTCGGAACAATGAATTTGTTATCGATGGAAAACGAACGACATCCTTTTAAAGCTGCGTCATCCGATATGACAATCATAGCAAACAATAACATAGTTGAAGCCATTTTCTCTTACAATATGTTTAGGCTTACCTCGATTTTTCTGTCAATAATTTCAAATTAAATCTGCTTATCTGCGGCACACATCGCGCCACCCATCGAATGAGGGCACCGACTAAATACTGGAGTACCATCAGTAACGAAATCTTGCCCAGCGGCGAGACAAAGCACTTACGCTTGAAACAAGCGAAGTGACAGCGAGCGGCGGTACCAACATGGGCAGCAGTACCAAGTATAGACAGTTATCACTAAAGGCCTACGAAACAGAAGTGGCCTAGGGTCCTACATGGGCCTCAGTGCCGCGTGTGGTGACCCTCCCACCCCAGGAGCTAATGACCCTAGGGGGTGGGAGGGGTGGAAGGGGTTCCGTCTGGATGCGGTGAAAGCACTGCCAGTTGGAGTGATTCAATTGAGACAGAATCAGAATCTGCATGTATTACTGCGGGACGAATCCCATGAGCAAAGAAGCGCCTTTTCTCACAGATGTCCAGTCGTAGGCATGGGGTTAGAACATTACGAAGGCATGGCACTCGGTCAACAGATATCCGAGCAAGGCTGTTTTCAAAATGATGTCACGCACACAGGCCAGGCACCCCCCAGGACTGGGGCCATGAACTATAAAAAAAAAAACTATAAGCATTTGTTTTATTTTATCAGATGTAATGCCCCACGGAGCTATTTGCAGTGCTGACACAACTTATGCATCACCAACTCATACTTCCAGACCAAACCCCACCGCAAAATCTCCTGGAGAAACCCTACGGTTTGGTCACTGGCACAAGCTGGACCCGATCCTAACACGACGAGCTGATCTTAGAGGCATTCTCCAAACCCGCAGTTTCGACAGTGCAGACTGCGACATTGACCATTCCCTCGTGTGCTGTAGAGTCAAGCTACAGATTGAAAAAAAAGATACACAGGAAAGAGCCTCCTGCATCGACAGGCACGCAAAACAGCTGACCCAACAAAAGCTGCAGCCTTCCTCTGTGCCCTCGGTGAATTACTTTCCCACGTCCCCAAATCCCACTGTGCTCAGCAGAAATGGGACACCCTACTGGACATGCACAGCAACGGCCTTGACAGCTTGTGGCAAAAAGTTTAGAAAGTCAAACGGCTGGTTCTAAGCTAATTCAATGTACCTAACACCAATTCTGAAATAAAAGCGCATTGCCCTCGCCAATTACAAATGTACCACATATGACAAGACACCAAATGCTGTCAAGACGCTGTGCAAATGGCTACTAGCTGCAGCTATGCAAAGACATCCAAATATCAGCTGACACAGGCAATGTCAGTCTATGGGTCTCTGTGATTCTATGGGTATCAGTGTGATGAGTCTATGGGTCTCTGTGTGATGAGTTTATGGGTATCTGCTTAATGAGTCTATGGGTATCTGATTCAAGCTACTGTCTTCCAAGTGGCGATGTTTACTGCACACCGCACCAGGTACTCATTAGACGCCAAGTCAATGTAGGAGAGGCCCAGGACAGGTTCAGATAATCATCATCCGGTGTTGGCCATGAGTGGGATTCGAACTCTGGTCGGCAGGTTCGTAGTGCAGCACTCTGACTGCTACACTACCGCTCCCCACACACTCACTTACACACACACACGTGCATGCGTCTACACACATACACAAACTCACTGCCAGCGCGAGGCCCACTCATTACATCATCGCGGAGGATTGCTCCGCTGAAAAAAAAGTGCGAGTTTGGTTTTAAGTCAATTTTAAAAAGATTAACATTTCATCGAAGCTGGTTCATAAGTGCGGATGTTCGTGAGTGTGGGTGTTAGTAAGTCGGGTGTTAGTAAGTGCGAATGTTCGTAAGTGTGGGTGATCGTAAGTGGGGGTTTCCGTAAGTGTGGGTGTTCGTAAGTCGGGAATTCGTAAGTATAGGTGTTCGTAAGGGGAGGACTGCCTGTATTGGCCAAACCACATCCTGGTGCTGCGTAATTTACCAGCTGATTACTCCAATCGAAAGCTTGGCAGGACCCTCTTGAAAAAAATAATCTTGAGACTATGCTGGGTAAACATGCCTCGCAATAATTATAATACAACATGAAAAAAAATCCAAGATTGTATTCAGCTTTCAAAACACCTCAACTTCATGAGAGATGACAAACATCTCCTAGTTACCACGTTGGCTCAGAGATGTTAACTGCCTCGCCTGGTATACAGGAGGTCGTGGGTTCGATCCCCACCCTGACGCCTGCTGTATATTTGGAGTTTGTGTGTTTTTATCTCTATCTCTCCCTGGGGTCGCATGGATTTTTCCCCAGGTTCTCTGGGTTTTCCCTCCACATTTGGACTCAACATCGCACGTTTAGAGTATTTGGCTGCTGCTATCAATTTCCACATGATGATGGTGATAAGTCACGTCGTTGAGGTATAATTTGTGGTCAGGTCGCTTCTATAAGAGAGCTACAAAGCAGCTCAGTGGGCCTTACCTGGTAAAATAAAAAAGAATTCGGTTAGAATTTAGTTCACCACACAGCCACACACAAGTTCAAATGTAGCGCTGTAAATAGGGCTATTTATATACTTCATGGGTTGCGCTACTTACTTGCAGTTGCAGACGGGGTCCACCAGGGGCAATACCTCAGCTCCAAGGCAAAGGGGGGCTTGCGGGATGTGCTGGGATCCCCTGGGACCCCCTTTGGAACTCTCTGGAAGGGAGGCGTGGTCAGGGGCGGGCACGCATCCAGAGCTGTATAAAAGCCGGACCTCTGGACGGCTCGAACAGCCAGTTGAAAACTGAAGACCAGCTAGCCAGGACCCTGACTGCTCTCACCCGCCGTCGTTGTAAGGGCCGGGTCTGAGTGGGCCAGTGGTGCGACCCTGGAAGCCTCGAGGCCCGACGTACTTGTAAGGGCCGGGACCGAGCGGCCAAGTGGTCGAGACCTTTACCTTGGCTGGGTCAGGTCAGAACAGCCTCCCCTAGGTCACCCTTAGCTGGAGGACCCAGACACTGTAGCCCCAGTAGTAGGACACATCAGTCCGGAGGCTACCTCCTTAGGCAGCGTGTGAAGGGGCCGTTACCCCTTCAAGTGTTAAAGTTCGCTACGTGCTGTATCGTAGTC